CCCGAAAGATGCTTCTGTGAATAACACCTTCAGGAAAAAATCTTTGTTACTTTGTGGAAGATGCTTCTGTGAATAAAAACTCCTGTGACTGAGGCTTTGAATAAGTATCCTGTGGAAGATGCTTCTTTGAATAAAGCTCCTGTGACTGAGGCCTTGAATAAGTATCCGATGGAAGATGCTTCTGTGAATAAGTCTCTTTGGAACGAGACCTTGAATAAGTATCCTATGGAAGATACTTCTGTGAATAAAGCTTCTAGGACTGAGGCTTTGAATAAGTACCTTATGGAAGATGCTTCTGTGAATAAGGCTTCTGTGACTGAGGCCTTGAATAAGTTTCCTGAGGAAGATGCTTCTGTGAATATAACTCCTTGGACTGAGGCTTTGAATAAGTACCTTATGGAAAATGCTTCTGTGAATAAAGCTCCTGTGACTGAGGCCTTGGATCAGTGTCTTGTGGATGATGCTTCTGTGAATAAAGCTTCTTTAAGTGAGGGTTGTATGAATAAATGTTATTATCTTATGGAAGATGTCCCTGATGCTTCTGTGAATAACAACATCAGGAATAAGTATCTTGTTGAAGATGTCCTTGTGAATAAGTCTCTTGCGACTGTGGCCTTCAAGAATAAAGTCCTTGTTGAACATGCTTATGTGAAAAAGGCTCCTGCCCCTGGAAATGATGCTCCTGTGGCTGAGGATTTAGGAAATAAGATCCTTGTTGAAGATGCTTCGATGAATGAGATTCCTGACACTTTAAATGAGGCATTAGTGAAGCAAGAAATAATGCCAGATCAGTCAGACAAGATTAACAGGTATGGGATGATTGTTACTGTTATGAATAGTTTGTTTAATTTGTCTTTTTATGCCCCCGCCATGTAATGGCCGGGGCATATAGTGTTACCCTGTTCCGTCCTTCCGTCCTTCCGTCATTCCGTCCTTCCGTCATTCCGTCCTTCCGTCATTCCGTCCTTCCGTCATTCCGTCATTCTGTCATTCCGTCATCATCAGTTTCCGTTCATTATCTTAGTAACGGTTGCACACATTCAACTCAAATTTGACATATGGATATATCATGAGAAAATACAGGTCAAGTTCGAATTTGGTCATGGTTCGATGATTTTTGGCAGAGTTATGCCCCTTTTACTTTAAAATAATATGAAATTTTCAGTTTCCGTTCATTATCTCCCCAACGATACAACACATTAAACTCAAACTTGACATATGGATATGTCATGAGAAAATACAGGTCAAGTTCAAATTTGGTCATGGTTCGATGATTTTTGGCAGAGTTATGCCCCTTTTACTTTGAAAATAACATGAAATTTTCAGTTTCCGTTCATTATCTCCCCAAAGGTACAACACATTCAACTCAAATTTGACATATGGATATGTCTTGAGAAAATACAGGTCAAGTTCGAATTTGGTCATGGTTCGATGATTTTTGGCAGAGTTATGCCCCTTTCACTTTGAAAATAATAAGGAATTTTCAGTTTCTGTTTATTATCTCCCCAACAGTACAACACATTCAACTCAAATTAGACATATGGATATGTCATGAGAAAATACAAGTCAAGTTCAAATTTGGTCATATTTCGATGATTTTTGGCAGAGTTATGCCCCTTTTACTTTGAAAATAACATGAAATTTTCAGTTTCCGTTCATTATCTCCCCAAAGGTACAACACATTCAACTCAAATTTGACATATGGATATGTCTTGACAAAATACAGGTCAAGTTCGAATTTGGTCATGGTTCGATGATTTTTGGCAGAGTTATGCCCCTTTCACTTTGAAAATTATATGAAATTTTCAGTTTCTGTTTATTATCTCCCCAACAGTACAACACATTCAACTCAAATTAGACATATGGATATGTTTTTGGAATGCCCAGGCCAAGTTAGAATTTGGTCATGGTTCAATGATTTTTGGCAGAGTAATGCCCCTTTTACTTTGAAAATAATATGAAATTTACAGTTTCTGTTCATTATCTACCCAACAGTGTTACATATTCAACTCAAATTTGACATATGGATATGTCAAAGGAATGGGCAGGTCAAGTTGGAATTTGGTCATGGTTCGATGATTTTTTGGCAGAGTTATGTCCCTTTCACTTTGAAAATAATATAGATACATCTTAGGAATAAGCAGTTTAAGTTTGAATTTGGTCGTGGTTCAATGATTTTGGATAAACTTATCTTTCTTGAATGTTGAAAAAATTTTGAACTTTCTGTTTCAGCACTCATACTTTTGTGGAAAGTTTGAATTTGGTCGTGGTTCAATGATTTTGGACAAACTTATCTTTCTTGAATGTTGGAAAATTTTTGAACTTTCAGTTTCAGCACTCATACTTTTGTGGAAATGTATGTAGCCATTATTTTGGCTACAAATATGAAATATGCTATTTTCAAAAGGTTAAGACTGAATAATTTCAGTGCTTTGAACATTGTATGAAAATGGTTTGTGTTAACATTGAAAAGTTTTAAGGGCTTTGAACTGCAAATGAAAAAATAATTTGTGCAAACAAATTTGGAATTAAATATTATAACATCTGAAATTTTGGCTGCATGCGGGGGCATCCGTGGCATGATGACACATTTCTAGTCTTGTAATTAATCGCTTTATTTTATCCAAATAATGAACATGTGAAGCAAACAACATAAGGTCAGAACAAGACTGCTCTTTAAAGGTCTTCAATTTTTCAAGAAAAGCTAGGTTATCATCTACACTCCTGGCATGGGCATCACAATTAGTACTAATTAAAGCTTTTCATGCAACTTTATGTACAACATCATATCTCATGAGCCACTAAAGACATTTGCTTGAAACCCAAATGAGCCGCGACATGTCAAAACCAACATAATGGGTTTGCCACCAGCATGGAATTCCAAATCAGCCAGCACATCCATGCAGTCTGATCAGAATCCATGCTGTTCGCTTACAAACCTTATAATAAGTAGAAAAACTGACAGCAAACAGCATGGATTCTGATCAGACTGCGTGGATGTGCAGGATGTTGTGGATCCATGCTGGTCACAAACCCATTATGTTGGTTTTGTCATGGCACGGCTCAAATATTAACAATGTTTTCGAAATCATAATAGAAGTTAATTGAATTATTGTCTTTTTAGCTCACCTATCACAAAGTGACATGGTCAGCTTTTGTGATCACTTTTCATCTAACGTCCACCTGTCATACTTCCACTTGAACTTTAAACGACATCTCCTCAAACATCTAACCAATTTCATCCAAACTACACAGGAATGTTCCCTTGGTGTTCACCTAATAAATTGTTAAAAGAATTTAATTCCATGCAGAAAGAAAAAAAAATTAAAAAATCTTCTTTTAAAAAAACCCAAAGAGCTAGAGCTAAGATATTTGGCATGAAACATTTTCTAGTAGGTGTCTCCCAAGTTTATTCAAATAAAAGTCCTAGGGTCGTCAAAATTGGCCTATATAAAAGTCAATAATAATGGCTGTAAAATAAATTGATTTACATAGGATATTGTATAAACAAGCACAAAGCTGCTGTTGTAAATACAACAATTTACTATGGTGAATGCAGGAATACACATCTTGACAAGCCAAAGCTAGCTGTAAGTTTGAATTATCCCTTTATAATTTACATTGTGTTACTTCTGTAAAAGCAATTTAAAGTGCAATTATGTCCTTTATGAAGATCACTTAACGCATTTTTTATGAGTAAATATCATACATCTAAATGACATCTACAGTGGACCTAGTTTTGCATGTAACAACAATTTTCAAAACTATAAAAGATATTCATGTAACTTAAGACATGATGCATAACCCTGGTATTGATTATTGCCCTAAGGGGTATAGACCTTACAACTCCGCCCATTGCTATGCAAAAATTGTACAGTATTTTGTTATGCATGTGCATTCTGCATAGGGCAAAAAGATCACACCCTACACCTAATTATGCCCCCACTTCGAAGAAGAGGGGGAATATTGCTTTGCACTTGTCGGTCCGTCCGGTCCGTCGGTCCGTAGACCAAATGGTTTCCGAGTGATAACTAAAGAACGCTTAGGCCTAGGATCTTCAAGCTTGGTATGGTGATTGGTCATGACCACTAGATGACCCCTAAAGATTTTCGGGTCAAGGGGTCAAAGGTCAAGGTCACATTGACTTTGTATGTTAAAACGGTTTCCGATCAATAACTAAAGAAGGCTTTGGCCTACGATCTTCAAACTTATTATGGTGATTGGTCATGACCAGTAGATGACCCCTGGTCAAGGGGTCGAAGGTCAACGTCACATTGACCTTGTATGTTAAAACGGTTTCGAATCAATAACTTAAGAACGCTTAGGTCTAGAAACAGTCAAACTTCAAACTTGGTATGGTGATTGGTCATGACCAGCAGATGACCCCTTTGGATTTTGGGGTCAAAGGTCAAGGTCATATTGACCTTTAAGGTAAAACGGTTTCCAATCAATAACTAAAGAACACTTAGGCCTAGGAACTTCAAACTTGGTATGATGATTGGTCATGACCAGCAGATGACCCCTATTGATTAAGGGGTCAAGGGGTCAAAGGTCAAGGTCACATTGACCTTGTAGGTAAAAACGGTTTCCGATCAATAACTAAAGAACCCTTAGGTCTAGAGACTTCAAACTTGGTAAGATGATTGGTCATGACCAGCAGATGACCCCTATTGATATTGGGGTCAAGGGGTCAAAGGTCAAGGTCACATTGACCTTGTAGGTAAAAATGGTTTCTGATCAATAACTAAAGAAAGCTTAGGGCTAGGAATTTCAAACTTGGTATGGTGATTGGTCATGACCAGCAGATGACCCCTATTGATTTTGGGGTCAAAGGTCAAGGTCACATTGACCTTTTACTTAAAAACGGGTCCGATCAATAACTAAAAAAGGCTTAGGCCTAGGTACTTCAAACTTGGTAAGATGTTTGGTCATGACCAGCAGATGACCCCTATTGATATTGGGGTCAAGGGGTGAAAGGTCAAGGTCACATTGACCTTGTAGGTAAAAATGTTTTCTGATCAATAACTAAAGAAAGCTTAGGGCTAGGAATTTCAAACTTGGTATGGTGATTGGTCATGACCAGCAGATGACCCCTATTGATTATGGGGTCAAAGGTCAAGGTCACATTGACCTTTTACTTAAAAACGGGTTCGATCAATAGCTAAAAAAGGCTTAGGCCTAGGTACTTCAAACTTGGTATGATAATTGGTCATGACCAGTAGATGACCCCTATTGATTTTGGGGTCAAGGGGTCAAAGGTCAAGGTCACATCGACCTAATAGGTGAAACCGGTTTCCGATCAATAACTAAAGAACCCTTAGGCCTAGGAACTTCAAACTTGGTATGATGATTGGTCATGACCAGTAGATGACCCCTATTGTTTTTGGGGTCACGCAGTCAATGTCATAGTGATCTTGTACTTAATGACAGATTCTGACCAATAACTCAACAACTCAAGTTGCCTTGGTTGATATTTTTGTGTGCTTTTGGTATACACATTTGAAGGTCAATGTAATACAACAACTTGGCTGTCATTAATGAGGCCTATGTGATTCATAAAATTTATGTATATTATTTGGTAAGATTTTTAATAACTTTAATTGCTGCACACAACCTATGGGGTCACAATAATTATTACCTTGTGACTAGTCATGACCAGTGTCACAATAGGGACTACGATGGGATACCAGGCCGACCACAATTGCTATCTAAAACAACCAACAACTCAGAACAGAAAAATATATACAAATTTATTTACAGAAATGAATATTTATAAATGAAAAATGATTGTATATGATAAACTACTATG